ATGAATGAATATATATATATATATCCGTATGTGTGTATCTGTATATGTATATATATTGCAATCCAACCACGTCATGTATTCAACGTCGAAGTCGTTCACCGCTGAATCCGAACAACACAACATTTCTATAATTCTGCCAGGGCCTCCTGTTTGCGAAGAAACCCGCTTCCGAGCACCGTCAGGGTGTTTAAACCTGATAATTTCGTATATTTTCCAAGAACTCTCGACTTAGATGACATTCTTTAATTCTTCGACAAGATTCAAGTTTTCCCAACGGTTAAGACGATGCCATCATATACGAAAACAGCCTTAACTCGCGAATCAGTCCCCGGATTTACCAGAATCTCAACATTTAACTACGACCGCTGAATCTGTCTGAAAGGCTTCGAATGAAACAGATCCATACATGGCATCTGATACTCAAACCTCTTAAAGTAACCATTCCTAAAACCTCTTCAAGTAACCATTAACAGAACTATAGTGGACCAATAGACCTCGATCCATTTATATTTTTTACAGCATCGATTCGACATACGTTAGTCTCCTTCCGACTTGCGATCTACACAATCATGAGCGCAGAGAAGATGTATGGTACGCACAACCTTTGACTGACCTGACACCATGGACCAGAAAGAAAGCGTATTCTATGGTGTATTACAGAATGATATCACGTAGACCACACAAATCTAAAACAAGACTTCTCGATCTTACTATGACTTATACTTATAACACGGTAAAAAACATACACGAAGACCGAGGGCGTACTGCAAAACCATCGTGGCTGCGATATCCTGATGTACAATTCAACAATAATACCACGCACACTGCACATCGCATTTCATAAACAAAAAGCACAACTTCCTTACCTTACGATCACTTGGTAGAAAAAAGTACAACCCATTGCCACGTCCTTTCTATCACAAGTACTACGATAAACCATCACCATGCATCAGCATGCTCTACGGTCTAAGTCAAGTAAGCATATATAGCCCGAAAAAAACTAATGCGTGTGCAATAAATAATTATAGTTTTTACCAGTTTGAAGAACTTCCCCCTCAGAAAAGCAGATTGCTACTGTCAATTCCCGATGTGACAACCGTTTATTGGAACAAATGTTGTATACAAGCAAACATTTATCTGTTTGACTTGGCTACACGCTCGAGCTCGTCCTTCTTTTTAATGGCATAACTGTTGGAAGATCCCTGTATTCCCAAAATACAATACAAAACACAGTTAAGAGCATGCGTAATATACGCAAAATTGCGATACAACAATATTCCTGCACACATGTTATCGAGCAGTCTTAACGAATTTGGGCACCATATACTCGTATCATGCGGACAAATACATATAACAAACAAACACTGGATTTGGGCTGAAATACACAATTCTTTCCTCACAACACGCAATTTCAATTGTCATAGCTAATAAAATTCAATCGCAATGAAGCCGACAAATCGGTTCAATATATATCGCATGCCATGCAAAAGAACACGACACCCATTCGTCAACTATCGTATATACAACTTAACTGTGTGCGTTAAGAATACAAGCATGCAATCGCAATTATGTATATGTTATACATCTAATACCGCCGGACTTGGTAAGCGCCACAAATAATGACCACGATACATAAAATCAAATCAGGTTCCTTACTCGTGGACAAACCTGAACGAAAATACATTTCCATACCTTAGCAGCATTAATAAGCTCATCAGCAAGACACTCTGCGATGGTCTTAATGTTACGGAAAGCGGCCTCACGAGCACCAGTGGTCAATAACCATAGCGACTGGTTTACGCGACGCAGAGGGGACACATCAACAGCTTGACGACGGACGGTACCGGCAGATCCAATTCGGGTGGAATCTTCACGGGGTCCACAGTTCTTGATGGCATCGATCAAAATCTAATGTATTAAAAATGAAAAGTGGTGCATACGTATAAGTATATGCAACCATAGTAATGCACTGTGAATATTATCTGCAGTGCGCGGTCGGTAACAGATGTGAAATGAAGTGAGGTGTGTACATCGCTGAAGTATGTACCGGATGCCCTTCTAACGCATCATTACATGTCTTCATATTACTATCATATATCGCACGATATTCTTTGTATACTATAAGTGAAAAACAACCAAAAGATATGCACTAATTATACATGCATGTACATACCTGAACAGGGTTCTCGCCGGTCATAAGGTGGATGATCTCGAATGTGTGCTGGATGATGCGAACACTCATGATCTTCTTACCGTTGTTACGTCCGTGCATCATCAGGGAGTTGACCAGACGCTCCACAATGGGGCACTGGGCCTTGCGGAAACGCTTGGCGGCATATCGCCCGGCGGTGTGGGGTAGGTATGTGGGCTTGCTCTTTACCGCAAGGTAATCTACAAGGGAAATGTCGTTGGTCTCGACATCAGCAAGGGTCCACTTGCCGAATAGCTTGACCTCCTCGGCGAAGTCAATCTCCTCAACCTCCGTATCCTCGAAATCGGGATTGACGGTGTTGATGTCTTGCTCCTCAACGTATACTTCCTCCTGGTCAGACATATTGCCTGTATATACATAGATGCGATGAATAATATGAGACATTACTACTTACGCTACAAGCGGTGAGATAATAACTTCTTCCATTTGTAATATGATGCTCGTATTGCCAACTATAACCAACAATGTAATATAATATGCATCGCTGTAGTTGTGAGCCTTGCGTCTGACGAAATATTCGATAACCACACGACACATATAGACCGGATTCCACTGACAAAATTTAATTGCGTGCAACGGTAATTCGGTGTTGTTTATGTGCTGTGTTGCACATTGCGCATATCGTATACCATGTGCAACGCTGCTGTTCAAAATATATTTCTATAGGTCTTTAAATAATGTTGCTGTGAATATTATGTGTTGTTGTGGTTCTTCTCCTGGGGGTAAATCTAGAGGTGCGGTTCAATACACTGTCGTATTGACAATATTTGTGTCCGTTACGCGTGTACAAGGAACGTTCCCTATACTATTATTATGGTTTGTACTCGAATATTTTTGATTAACATCCGCTAGTATTTGTTAGAATTTTGAATTGTAGCGCGGTTTCAGCGTCTTTCTTTCCGTTGACGCAAATCATCTTGGAATATCCCGTGTTTCCCATGTATACACTTTTTGACCCTCTTGTTGTTGTGTTGATTGTACATTATGATCGTAAATGATACAGGTATGTATAACATTCTATACGTCTATGTTCATATCACTATATTTATATGGTTGTATAAACATATGTATGTAGTCCTACACACCCCTATCGGTATTTTGTGAATAGACATTCCAAGAAAAGCGTGTAAGATCAACACTATCAAGTACTTCCTCGACGCCATATCTCTAGAGCTAGCTCCACATTTCGCTGTATCTTAGGTATTTCTAACGAGGAAAGCCGGGCTAACGCGAACAGTGTGTTAAGCATGCAATTTCACGCACCGAATGTTAGCTGAGTTTCGGGCGAAAAAGGAAGAGCGATGCTCAGATTGGATTCATTATAAGTGTACCATCGGTAATTTCTGTGTGCTATACCACCACATGTGTCGGTCCTCAGACAGCTTCAATTTCTGATAGGAAAATTCTGGTAGTAGACAATTACGAAGCTACATGCTTTTTTTTTTCTAAACCAAAACTGTGGCTATTATTTGATATATTTGATTTTGTGGTATATATATAGTAGGAGGTTCGATATCGCTCTATTCACATGAAGACTGTATGTAATGTCAGCGCTCAGCAGACCGGGAGAGAGATAGAGAGTCCAGCAACTGGCATTGATTTAAAAAGCGTATTCATTGTGTAAATACTTCGGTTTTTTTACAATATAGCTCACTACAGTTAGGTACATACTTGTATTGTAGCTCTTTCTCTGGCCCTTTATTGTATGTAGACAAATAGGTCCGTGCGTGTGCGTGTGTATGTATTCTTTTCTCTCTATATATATATATATATATATACGGCTTGTTTCTCTGTTGTCAACCCACTTTGAGTTACCGTTTACACGTGAATGCTTGCATTTCAGATACGCCCTTGTGTGAATGAATTTGCACATAGATATATTTTTATATTTATATGCCTTGATTATTGCCTGTTTCTTTTTGTCGTACTTATCCACACCTGTTTGTAGAATCCGATAAAATAACATCAATTGCTCCACCACTGTGGAAGTTCATATTGTTGTTAACGTTGTATGCGTAGACATAAATCTGTCTTGAATAAATAAATAAGTTTCAAAATATAAAAACTCGTGCACTTCACTATTACAAATGGAGCGTGAGGTAACCGCAACTAAGTATATTTGCTTGGGTATAACACTGGTGTGTACTGTAAACTTAATTTATAGAAGCACGTCAATTTATGTTGATTTATGTACTCACTATCCTCTACTTGGATGTGCAAATATTTGTGCTATATACGTTTGATGTCCAACATGTAAAAATTGAATTGAGGCGCGGTCCGCTAGTGTGAAGTTCATTTTGTTGTTATCTTTGTATGCCTAGACATAAATATGTCTTGCATAAATAAATAAATTTAAGAATATGAACACTCGTGCACTTCACTATTACAAATGGAGAACTAGGTAGCTGCAGTTGACGATGGCCTTAGGTTATTTTTTCAAGAATCAATTGCATATGAAGTATACCTGCTTGGGTAACGCTGGTGTGTACTGTAACTTTAATTTATAGAAGCACGTCAATTTATTTATGACGTATGTACTCACAATCCTCTACTTGCGCACGCAAATATGTCCAACACATGCAAAACATTGCAAAAACCGAATTGAGGCGCGAATATATAACTTTAGGTAGTTGTGGTACAGATCTATGTTGCATGGAAATGAGCTTGATACACACTCTGTCCTCGTTGAGATGTGTGGCATGGATACGAATATGCAGAGGTATGTGCATATACCAAACTGGTATAAAATAAATAGAGTCTACATTGTGGTTTGAACTAATTCTTGACAACTGGCAAAGCCCCAAGCAATTGCCGCTTTGTATGCCAATGCATAATCATTGTGAATGGAACATGTATATATTCAATAGCATATCACTGTTATTATACAAAATGTATTATTTTGTAATTTTGTCTGAATATAATTGTGTAGAGCAGACACATAAACACACACTACATACACTCGTATACAACAATTCTTAGTCGAAACGATGTCAATTCTATATGAAGTCTTTTATTACTCACCATGCTGGACGACTAACAGCGCGTTGTATCTCAAACAAAATCATAATACTTCATATGTTACTAATTATATGTGGACGTGCCAGCAGCACACGATCCAATAGTTTCCGCATGGACTGAACACGTTGGCGTTTCCGGAGGAAATGACCTACATCGTTGTGTATAAATACTTTGCTGTTGCGTGCGGCGTTATAGTTCCGACATCTGTTCGGATAGGTTAACAAATGTGGGATGTCAAAACCGTCTGTCACTAAAAACAGCAAGGCGATGCAGTAGCAGCTCAGCTTATAACACAATAACCAGTTTGTCTAAACTCAAAGCCATGTCCCGATTAGTTGCGCTGCCGACTCTTTGGTGCATGCGTGGGGGATGATTACAATACAACTCCCTTGCCTCGGTCTTGCATATCTCGATGTACTATCTGACGACTTATGACAGTTCACGTTACAGTGAGTACTTGAGAGGGCTGTGTGTGCTGAGATCTTCACATTTCGCCAGCACTCACCATTCAGGCCTTTGCGTATCGTTGTAATAATTCCTAACAGTAGAGTAAGAATTGAAAATGGTGAGTATGCCTGTATATTTGGTACTCAATCGCTCAACTGGACAGGCCCGAATAACGACGCCAAATATATCAACAACAACAAGATAGCAGTTCAACAAGACGAGTCTGATAATATAATATATTTA